AAATCCAACGCCAGCGAAAATTATTTAAAAAAAAAAAATCAAAAAAATTAACTATATACGAATACTATAATCGATGACTTTAGATTGTAATATCTAAATAATTTGTTTGGAATTAAATGGATTTGTTTACGATCCGAGTTGAATGTTGCATCTTTCTGAATTTGTATGGACACAACGTTCTTCGGTATTAGTCGTTTTTAACAATTTTCTCCTTATAGACGCAACAGATAGAAGTAAGATTAGTAACGATCAAAAGCGCTTTTTTATCGCATTAAGCCTATACCCCCTTTCATTTTTTGCGAACACTTCCTTTAAGTATACACTGTAAACCTTTTAATTTAAGTCATAACAAGGCTCGGCCGCTTTAAAGCTTTTTTAGGTGTCTAAATCGTAGTAATAATTCGTTAAAGTTCTAAAATCAGACGGAAAACTCTTTGCTTAGGAATTTTTACACCCCCAAATAATTAATGGATGGTCGTTCGAATCTATTTCTATATCTAGTTATCCTAAATTTGTTGTATTTTCTTGTAAAAAAACAATCTTTACGTTTCCTGTGTAGGCAATGTAGGCAATATCGCCGATATATAGAATCCAGTCATGGATAAATATATGAACTGGAAAATAAACTTTAAATTGAAATCATTATAAATCAATGCAAGCTACAATTGATAAAATGTTTGTAAATAAAAATATTTCAGAATACATTTAAATTGTCCATTTTCATCATGAAACACAAGGTATATGCATTTGAATAGGAAGATTGTGACAAAAACCAGTCACCCCCCCCCCCTTAGTCCATACAGTGCAACCCATAAAGCTGCGGAATGAAAAGAGAACTGTTAGACTCGAGTTTTGATTGCGAACAGTCCAAACATATATTTAATTTTGAGTATTGTATCAAATTATAAAATTTACAACTAAATCCATTGTAAAAAGAAAACTTGGATCACGTTACTTTTACAGGCCCGGAATGCCTAGTTAATCGAGTCCTCCTCCTCCTTAATTTCCCGGGTGTATTATTAGAATTTTAGCCAAGTTTCAATAAATTTCATAAATTTCTCCGGTTTTCAAATAATCTCCTTTCTTTCTAATCTTGAAACAAAAACTATCAAATATTTACTGCTCCACGGAATGTTTTTTTGTGTGAAATCTACCCCCCTCTTGTTTTAATAACAGGGAGCGGCGCACTCATCATTGCCAAAAAAGGATTTAATTTCAAGTTTTATATAAATATTTCCTCCTTTTATGGATCAAAAATATTGCAAATCATAAGAAATTCTTCCAGTTATAATGAAAAATTCCTTTCTCTACGATTTTATCAGAAATTTACAGAAAATGATAGTGGTTCTATATATATGAACCTGCAGGGGGTGGGGGGGCTCATGTTTTTTTTTGTTGGTTTCAAGTCCTGAGAGCAATTGTATAATCCAAAAACCTCCAGAAAAACACGTGATCTGTAAAACATTTCGTCTGAACACATCTAACATCACGCATCAAGGTATTTGTTTGATTGGCAGAAAGATTTGGACTGAAATTTCCACAGAAACAAATTTATAATGTTTATTTGGCGAGAATATAGTTCTGTTAAGTAAATCGTACAAATTTCAATGTAAAAAAAATAGTTTATATTTAATTCTATGAAGCTGTTTGTTTGTATCCAATAAACGTTAAAACGGCTGAACCGATCGGAAACAAATTTTTTGTGGGACATCACGTGACCCAAGTAGGGTTTCCAACGCAAGTGGATTTTTACTTGCGCGCAATTGCGAGCCCTTGCGCGGGAGTGATTTTAATTGCGCGCAATTCCTGCGTTTGTGTTTCAAGTTTTTGATAAAATTCAACTTAAACCTTATGGCACGCAATAAATGCAATTAATTATTGCGCAATTCCTTTCAACAACAAAAAATTCAATTTAAACTTTGGTAGTGGCATACAATAAACTGGACTTCACAAACATTTCAGTCTCAAATGCTAAGAAAATTGAATTTAAACTTAATCTTTGGTTTTATAATATTCATTTGTAGCATGAAACTACTAGAAAACTCTGGCATAGGAAGACGACAGTTTAGACTCAAGGAGGCCCATGTAACGGGATAAGTGATTTAATAAGTTACTAATTAATTTTGTTTGACGTTTACATCAAATACACTATTGTCTTTTTGTACCGTAGTGTTCTGGTTCTCACTGTAGCAATATATCTAATTTTGATTAAACGAACCTTAAAATTTTGATCAAAAAAAGTTTCCATTTGAATGTTTATCCAATGTGAACAAATGAAAAATGTATCATATTATATTGTTAGTTAGAAGCTTAACCACAAGAAACTTTAAAATTTGAAAACTGTTGAAACAAGTGACACTCGGGCCTAGATTATTTAAAAATCAACAGATATTTAATACCATTCTTGTAACGACTGGGCCAAATTGGCTAACTTTTTTGAGGGAACCTTTGGGTGCCCTGGAAGTAACATAGGCTAAAAATTCTATTTTTTTTTAATCATTCTTTTCTTCAAAAATCTTCTATTTTTTTAAATAAAATTTTTCTTTACTTTACGGGCATTTCAGCTATTCATTGATAAATATACTTTGACCCTCTCATGTCTTTAAAAGAATTCCTAGCTAGTTTCACAACAAAACTTTTATCCTGAGATAAAAAAATATCAGATTAACCGTGTATTTAACAATCACAATTTATTACAATTACATATATTTTTCCGTCACAAATTCTTATGCAACAAAAACAATATTTAAGAACTGTGAACTAAATTGAAGAAAATGGTAACAAAAAATATTTCCTTTTTTTCCAGGGAAACGCAAAAGTCCACAGTTATGAATGAAATGAGTGAATCCTTGTATTAAATGGGTAAACATTGTTCCTCATAATCTTTATCATCATCAACACAGTCCCATGGGCTCCTGAAAGATAAACTACTAAAAAATAATTCTTAATACCTCTGGTAATTTGTAAGCACAAAAAAAGCAAGTCCGCATTTTGTAATTTCCAAAACTAGTTGAAATCATCGATAATTGTTTCTGAGATCAATGACTATCTTCTATAGCTGTCTCCCCCCAACTGTCATATTTAGTGGGACACCCTGTGCATTTTTGACAGGGTTTTCAGAATCCGCATCCATGGATTACGATAGTGGTGTCGGGTATTTTTCTGAAGACATTTTTCCATTTAACACTTACCAAGTGACAATTTCCCCAGTGGCAACTTCACAAATGTGCAATTTCCCACGCAAACTTCCCTAAATTTAGGACGTCCGAGGCTTGCAGATCGCTGCGGCAAGGACAGACTGGGAAAGAAGCCCCTTTGGGAAGTTGCCACTTGGGAAAATACCCTTAATAAGTTGCTTGGAAAAATACCCTTAGTAAGTTGCTGCTTGGGAAAATACCCTTAATAAGTTGCTGCTTGGGAAAATACCCTTAGTAAGTTGCCACTTGGGAAAATACCCTTAGTAAGTTGGTGCTTGGGAAAATACCCTTAGTAAGTTGGTGCTTGGGAAAATACCCTTAGTAAGTTGCTGCTTGGGAAAATACCCTTAGTAAGTTGCTGCTTGGGAAAATACCCTTAATAAGTTGCTGCTTGGGAAAATACCCTTAGTAAGTTGCTGCTTGGGAAAGTACCCTTAGTAAGTTGCCACTTGGGAAAATACCCTTAGTAAGTTGCTGCTTGGGAACATGCCTTTGGGAGAGTATCTACCTAACAATTTTTTTAAACCCCAGTATAATTTCTTATGACCCATTTAATTCATTTTTGTAAAATAAAATATAAATCAAATCGCTTAAGCGTTATATCAGTTTTAAAGTTATGGAACTTGTGGGAAAGGGTTTAAAAAAACCTAATATCTGGTTTAATGTATGAACAAATATCTATGTATAAATTCGGTTTGTCTGTCTGTTTGTCTATCTGTTTGTCTATTTGTTTGTATCCAATAAACGTCAAAACTGCAGAACCGATCAGGCCCAAATTTTTTGTGGGACATCACGTGACCACAGGGAAGGTTTATGAATGATCAAAATTTCAAATATTTGTCTCAATCAAAATTCGATCTTCATTAAATTTTTGAAAATTTTGAAAATCCATGAAATTTTTTGTGAAAACCCGCGAATTATTTTTGTTTTTTTTTTACGATGTACACGAAGAGAACATGTTCACAATTAATTTAGAAGATGGGCGCGAAGCGCCCTCTAAGGCTAGTAATTAAAAAACTGATTCGACTTTAAATAGAAGCTTCATCTTTTTACCTAAGAGAACTCACGAAGACCAAACTTACTGTGAACCTTGATCTCCGGTTTCATCTAAAATTGTAGCTATTGTTTCTAAATCATAGGATACATTACGGTGGTATATATCATCTAACCAAAACTAGAGGGAAGGGGGCGCACAGTGGGGTCAGTAATATTGAAGGGAGCGTTCGCGAAAAATGAAAGGGGGTATAGGCTTAATGCGATAAAAAAGCGCTTTTGATCCCTACTAATCTTACTTCTTTCTGTTCCGTCTGTAAGGAGAAAATTGTTAAAAACGACTAATACCGAAGAACGTAGTGTCCATACAAATTCAGAAAGATGCAACATTCAACTCGGATCGTAAACAAAACAATTTAATTCCAAACAAATCATTCAGATATTACAAACAATAGTCATCGATTATTTTTCGACGCATTCGTAAATAGTTGATATTTCATAATATTTTGTATTTTTCTTGATCTGAGAGTTACTTTTGAAAACATTTATTCCTGTTTCAAGGATTTTTGATAATGAAGACGACATTTTCATTTTTTCCAGGAATGTTCGAAAATCCAACGCCAGCAGAAAGGGTTGTATGGTACGAACAACTTTTTGAAGAAAATTATTAGTTATTCTGATTCATTGTGGTAAAAATAAAATCAACAGTTCATGTGACACATTTAATATATTCTCTAAAGCTTTTTTAAATTATCAACCGCCCATCTGGAAAGGAAACAGGGAGGTGATGGTGGATAAAACATTTTAACACCCTGTATTTACCTGTTTGCCACTATGTCCATTTTCTCTGGCTTCCTGTTTGTGCCTGAAAGGAACCTTGCAGCTTATTTATTAACTAAAACGAGAAGTAAATTGATTTTCAGCATGAAGGAATAAAAATTCCACTCGACTTACCCAAAAGATTTTAAATAGTTTAAAATGAAGACTAAAACTAAGTACATTTTAAGTTTGCAAGTTCCTGAGAAGATCCATTCTTTTCTTCTGTCCATCTTTCTTGTTCATACTGCGTGATATTTCTTGTGTGGATGGAAAAATCTTCATGGTACCCTTGGGCTGCTGAATCCTTTCCTCCTTATCTTTCTTCGGTTCAATATTCAGTTTCTTCTACAATTCAGAATAAAAAGGATTTTTTATTAGTATCTTTTATTCATGTTTGAATTTTCCACTTTATTTCATTTCTACCTTTTTCTGCTTGCGGGGTTTCTTGGTCTTGTTGAAGTTTCCCCCGCTTTCGTTAGCTTTTATTGGTGCAATGCTCAGTTTCTCCTACAATACATGCCTTTAAAAAAGGTATTTTTATTATTCCTGATTCTTTTTTTCAAATTTCCCTTTTAAAAGTTTTTTTAAGTTTCAATGCCCGGTTTCTTCTACATGGCATAAATTAAAGGCTTTTAAAAAGTGTTTTTTCTTCTGAAATTTAAATTTTTCCACTCTAACTGAATTTCACATTTTTCTGCTTGCGGCTCTCATTGGTCTGATTTAAGATTCCTTCCATGTCTAAAGTTTTCTAAGGTTCCCTGCTCGATTTCTTTAAAGTTTTCAAGTAGCCCTGGGACCAATTTTATTGAATTGGAGAGGTTCCTACTGGCGGATCAAATCTGAATCACTGATTCAAATCCTTTTGAATCTTAGACTATTTATTTGATGATTAAGATTTGAAATGGCGCTGTGGTCGGCAGTTCAGCCGACTTCCTCAATTTTAATAAAAATCTGGTCCATTTTCTCTCCGATTTTTAAACATTCATCATCAGAATTTTAACAATTATCAACATTTATCTTTAACTCTTGCTAAAAGAATTCAAACCTGTTTTTTCCTTTGATCTGGGACTAGACAAATCTTTACGTTTGCCGGCATACCTGAGAAAATGTTTTTTAAAAGTACATTTGGACAAATTAATTTAAAATTACTAAAATTACGACATAATAAAGAAAAGATATATTATTGTTAAAGCTTCTGGAAACAATCCAATCACCTAAAAACCATATGCTAAAATTAGCACTACATAAAAAGTGGAAGTGTTAATTTTCTTACTTACATTCTCTGTTCATAAGGACTGTAAATGTAATTTCGAGCACTTAAAATTACAATGGCAGTCCTTCTAAAATAGACATTCAGCGATATAAATACTAATAAGACATACCTTCGGCAGCATATGAACCGGGAGCTACATTTGCAGCCAGTTCCTGCTTTGGAACTTCAGACATCTCGGAATTCAATGCTATCCAGGGGTTGCTGTCATTACCTATCAAAATTTAAACACTACTATGGTTACCTACAACTAAGGGAGGGGGAGGGGGGAAGGCAAACCGCGCTCTTATAGCCTCCATCCCGCAAATTATTGATCAACATAGAGTAGCGGCAACGCACTCTAGCACTTTCTAGCAGCACCTCTATATTCTCCAGTAAAATGTCTTGCGATATTCAAGTAAAATATTTTGTACGTGCCTGCTGATGTTCATCTTCTCAGTTCTTACAAAAAAACATCTATTGCCCCAGTGAGCAAGAATGTTTTAACAAATTACCAAAAAAACTATGATTAATATGTTAAGGTTATGGAGGCTATACAGGTGTTGCTTGCCTTCCCCCCCCTCACAAGAGACTTAAACGGAAGCATAGACATAATTTCAAGTGACCCTTCATTTTAAAAAAAACGGGCATGCAGAATTCCCGATGATACCCTATGATTCAAGGAGATATTGAATAGGAGGGGGCGATAGGGTTTCCGAACACTTTGCTGTCACGTTTTTGGACTGCTGAAGAACTAGTTTTTGGACTGCTGGAGAACTAGTTTTTGGACTGCTGAAGAACTAGTTTTTGGACTGCTGAAGAACTAGTTTTTGGACTGCTGAAGAACTAGTTTTTGGACTGCTGAAGAACTAGTTTTTGGACTGCTGAAGAACTAGTTTTTGGACTGCTGAAGAACTAGTTTTTGGACTGCTGAAGAACTAGTTTTTGGACTGCTGAAGAACTAGTTTTTGGACTGCTGAAGAACTAGTTTTTGGACTGCTGAAGAACTAGTTTTTGGACTGCTGAAGAACTAGTTTTTGGACTGCTGAAGAACTAGTTTTTGGACTGCTGAANAGTTCTTCAGCAGTCCAAAAACGTCACAGCAAAGTGTACGGAAACCCTATCGCCCCCTCCTATTCAATATCTCCTTAAGCTATAATTCATTATGAGATCAATCATATATAGAACATATTGTCATTATCTAACTTAAAAATTGTTTAAATTTGATAATTAACTCCATTTTTTTGTAACGAGAAATCCGCAAATAACTTTCTTTTCAGAAAAACCATAATCAAATTTTAAAAAGAGAAACATTGATGGCTAACTCACTATTGATCAGACAAGCTGTTAGGGGTGAGAGTGTGAGTGGGACATTCTACTTTTTAAAAATAATGCATAGAAATCAGGATCAGAACCTTATTAAAGAGTTCAGCAGTACTAATTTTTTTTATTTCAAGCTTGACAATTATTCTATTTGTTTGATTACCAAACTGAAGTGTAAATCTGTCCGGGTATTCTCGCAGCATGTTCAACAACAATCTGTTGTCAATATCTGGATAGTTTGTAGTTAGTTGGCGTTGGAGGATCTTCAGTCCACAGGGCTGCTTACATTTCAGAATATCAAGAACAGAAGACCAAAACAACGGATCTAAAATATTAACAAAATAGAATATAAAATATTAAAAAATAAACAGGGTGAGGAGGCAAAAAAAAAAACACAGTAATTATCGATGTTTGGACAACATGTTTAAAATTTTTGTTTTGTTTTGATTTTTGGCATAAATAAAACGTGATACAGAAAATTCAAAAATATATTTGGAACATTGAAAAAAATCCGCGAAAACAATGTTTTGAAAGAAATAATTTTTTTTAAATTGTTGGTAAAATATTCATTATGTTACGCGACCCAGTCACGTATATGGGATATGAGGGAAAGGTCGCCCCTGTGCTAATATTCCTACAAGATATCTGCAGCGCCCCTGGACTTCGTACAGACTTTCTACACGCAGCATGGCTCGCGTAACAATTATTATTATTGATTATTATCATTATTATTATTATTTGATTGATATATTTATTATTATAATGATGCTGAAAGAGGCTTGAAATGAATGAATGCATAAAAGTACTCCTTGTCAAGAAGATGTTGCATGAAGAAAAAGATTAAAATTATAATTTCAGTTAAATAATTTCGCTGAATATTGTTAACTGTTTTTGGGGTACACAGCGCTCACTGATGCCAATAAGGTCTCTGAAAAGCCCCATAAAGGAAATTAACCCTGGTTTGCCGACTCTAAAAAGTCCAGCTTTAATGGCCTTGAAAACAGGGTTGAACTAATGTTTTTCAACAAAAATAAATATTCAACGATATTTTTTTCTCTCAAAAACTGTTAAAATAAAATGTATTTTCTTTTTTCTTTTTTTGGGATAAATATTTTTATCATCTGTAAAAAGAGACAATTTAGTCATCATACCGGAAAGTATTTGCAATCTCGGTTTTCGCAATTTTATTGCAAATACGTTGAAAACTTTGGCAATTTGCAAAAGAATGAATTAAATATCAACGAAAACTATAGATTGTATCCCCCCTCCCCTCCCCAGCTTTTTAAAATTTAAGATTAAAATTATCAGATGAACAAGGAAGACAGTAAGGAATTATTCTGATACAATTTTGTGTTGCGTTGTTATCTAAAAAACTTATTTCCGTTTTTCTTGCATTAGAAACAATAGAGAAGTTTACAGAATTAAACATTAAATAAACTTCAACAACATTGAGCAGATAAAGGTTCAAGGAGTTTTCGATCGGACGTACATGGCAAACTAGAAATAGAGGTTTGCTTCAAATTAGGCATACATTAGATTTAAAGGTTGCAATTGCTGTCACACAAAAATGTATGAAGTTTTTATCAATTACTTCTTAAAAACTATAGCTCAAAACAAGTACTTTATAGTACTAAAATTTACAATTTAGAGCTACAAAATAGCAACTTTTTATAGCAGGCTGAATCTACAGCCTCATACAGTCCCTTTAAAGCGCAATTGATCAACCCCCCCCCTCTCGTCCTCCGGATAAAGATTTTTGATACGGCTATTGTGTTTAATATTTATCCAGAATAAATTGTATAATTTGTAATATAACATGTTTATATTTTATGATAAGACTTTCATATGATATATACGGGCGGCAGTTTTTCTAAGCTTTTTTTATCAAGAAAAGTTTCAAATTGAACAATTTAATTCTTTAAAAAATCCAATAAATGTTTTTGATCCACAATTTTGATTGTAAAACACCAGTCTAACCTGAACCATGTATGTTATCCTGAAAATGATATAATCCGAAACATTGTGTATTAATAAATATGAAAAACTGAGATTACTCTAATTTTGTTGCTGTATAGTTATTTAATGATAATAAATATTTATTTAATGTTATAATTATGATGTAAAAATGTAGGATTGAAAAACCTTCAAGTTTCGTGAGATACAATGTATAGATATCTTCATTCTATATTAGCTGACGCCGAGGTTTCGTGATTATTGTTCATTAAAAGTATTCATTTGTAAAAATTCTTGATTTTAATTTTCAAGCAAATTAAGTTGTACATATATATGTATATACAGGGTTACCTACAAAGGATGAGACTTCAAAGACGACTGTGCAGAATTTACACTGTCTATTTCCGGATATTCATGATTCCTAACAATGATGCCAATCATTGAATAAATCATAAGAAGACTATATTCAAAACAGAAGACTAAATTTAACCTTAGGATCGACTCATCTTAAGATGTCAAGCTAACCTTACAGTCTTATACTGTAAGTATAGTCTATAGTCTATACATATATATAAAATAGTCTATAGTCTATACATATATAAAATTAAACAATACGCGAAACTTTTGAAAAACGTACTTTCGTGGCATAATGGCAGAAATATTTATTTTATAGTTATAAAATTCCTTCCATAGATTTGTTTCACAAGATAATATATATATATATTTTTAAAGGGACTGTAGACATAATTTTACCATTACCCTTTAAACCTTTATCCGAGCAACATTGAGGAATATATTGTTATTTAATCTGACATTTTTCTTCATTGTCTCTACTACGTATATCCGGCAGTAAGTTTAACAGAAAAACCCCAATTGAAAATAATAAATATTTAGTCAGAAAATTTAAATCCTGAATTTAATCTTTTATCGGTAATCTAGGTATAAGTTTAATCTAACTATAAGTTTAATTGATACTGTTGTGAATCGTAAATGCCACTCTTTATAAATTAATAGTCACTTAAGTCAGTCTTTTTATGGAAAGGAAACAGATAACACGTTTCCTCCATCTTTTCGAACACAAATAAAATGTCTCGAGGGTTCGTTGAAGTGATGAAAAATAAAAATTAATCTACGGTAATATTTCCTTACTTATATACTTAACATAATACAGTACAGCAGCTGCAGTTTAAATGGTTCATATCAACGACCCACCCAGCTAACATCCTACCCAATTAT